TTAGAGAAAACGGTGTCGTTTGACAGCTGGGAAAAGAAAAAACCCAACAACAAAAAAAACCATCCCCACACAACCCTCAAAAAAACCCACCACCCCTAAACCCCCAAAAATGCAGCAGCCCTCAACATATCTCACATAAGTTCTGAGCACACAGAGCTGCAAATCTGGCTCACCTTAGCAAGCAGATTTAAAAGGAAAAACTACAGCTACTATATCATGAGCCAGCTGTTTGTTACATGAAATCCTTTTTGTCACAGTATCACAGTGATGACCCAGATACAAAATACCTACTGGTATTTAAAAATACTGAACATAAGTTTCCACTGTGTTTTTCTGTTTTCCAGGCTTAGATTCTGGTCACATTCTTTTACATGTTTTCATCTCCTGTTTCCCAGACAGCCAGGCTTCCCAGGCTAAGGGCTGTCAGTAATCAGCCATGAAGATGTGATTTGTTGTGGGTTGAAAAGATTACAGTCCTAACTGAGCATGTGGTCTCGTGTACCGCACCAGTCTAGACTCTGGTGTGTTAAGGAAAACTAAAGCTTTATGTTACTGTATCTTGTTTCAAGGTTTAAGCAGCTTGGATGCCTATGCAGGGGGAGGCTGAGAACAGAACTGTGTGTGTTAATTGCTTAGTGCCTTAAACATCAGCCCCTGATCTCAAGTTTCCCCTGTGAGAAGCAGTGAGTTAGATCACAGTGGGAGGAGTTAGTACAGGCTGGCAAAGGGTGCTAGAGGGAAGGCTGGGTTCTGATTCTTAATATATTCTTTTCCTGTAAAATCTGTTTCAGCGAGAATCTAATCTGGTTCAGGAATTACTGGTAGTAGTCTATTTTTAAGCAGGCTGCCAGAAAAATGCATACCCATTACTGTGGGCGTTTGTATGTCTTGCAGTTGTTGAATGTGAATATTGCAGTACTCTGGATTAGGCTGGTTTAGTGCTTAATTTGCAGATAGAAAACTTCAGGCATCTCTGGCAAAGTTAAAAGATCAGTCTGTCACCTACATTATTCTCAATATCATCTTAGGCTCTTCTTGCCCTGCTGTGATGGGTTTTTTTCCCTTCGTCTCAGTCCTTGTTCAAGTCAAGACAGACAGATGCTGAAGTTCATGTAGGACAATTTTTACAGTACCAGTCTTCCTTGAAGTGCTGGACATCCTTCCTGCCCTGGGGAATGGCGAGTGCTTAATACCTTTGAAAACCAGACTGTGAACTTGCATATCTAGTTAAGCATTTGTGGTTAAAGTTGGTGATGTACAGAACTTGATGGCTGGTGTGCAGTAGAGGTAGCCAAACTCCTCCCGCTTTTCTGTTTCGCATGAGATTTGTAATCAGGAGCCGCTAGATACTCTTTTGAAGGGTTATCATGAGCAAGTAGGCAACCCATTACTTGTTGATTTCAGATCAAGCTCACATTTGGTCTGTTTTGCAAAATCCTATTTAGAAAAGTTTCATGCTAAGATAACTGTTAAGTATGGTAACGCGTGTCAGTAAAAAACTGTAAAAAACCCTCCGTTTTGTCATGCTCATTCTGCATTATCAGTTGATACCAGTAGGAACATAGTGAGGCAGGTTTGCCTCAGTCACAACCATGCGAAGGAAGTGTCTTGAAAACAGACGATGTGGGACGTTTCTCAAGCCTCTAATGGACTGTAACACATCTGTATTACAGGGCAACGTGTATGTCAAATGTCCTTCAATTGCTGCTGCCATTGCAGCTGTAAATGCGTTGCATGGGAGGTGGTTTGCAGGTGAGTGGATTTCATGTAGAAACCTACATTTAGTCATTAATTACAGAAATGACCAAATACTGATTTTTTTTTTTTTTTTTAATCTTCTGATTAGGTAAAATGATTACAGCAGCGTATGTACCTCTTCCAACGTACCATAGTCTTTTCCCAGATTCTATGACTGCAACCCAACTACTGGTTCCTGTTCGACGATGAAGATGGATTTAGTCAGTTTTGTACATAGTTATTTTTTGGAGGAAGATTGAGTTATCTTTTATTTAGATAAAACTAAAGGAGAGGATTTAATGTCATTTTGTGTACACTTCCTGCTACCTTTAAAAATAAAATGAAGTAAGCAGAAATGCAGTGTGTTCATTCTCCCTAACTAGCATTTCCACTGTATACAAAGCTGTTGACTTCTTGTTCTGCCTTGTAATTCTTGTACATTTACTAAGGTGATCTGTAGGAACTGAGAAGTAGCTCATAGAAAACAAGTTCTCTGTAAAAGGCAGATGGGACATAATGACATTTTTAATGTTTCACAAGCCTTTCTTTTAATGCAGCAATTACATTTTACATTTCACTAAATGTAGGTGATCTGCTAAAGGTTAATATCGGAGATAAGACTTTATGAAGGGACATATTTAGTGTTTTGTATAAATGGAAAATTCAGAAGGCTACTGAAAGCTGACTCTAGACAGCCACTCAGCTTGCTTTGTGATGAATAATTGGTAAGAATAGAAGGATTGAAGGGTTTTATTTCTTGATGGTAACTTTTGATTAATGTATCTGTAAAAGTTTCTTTGTAAATACTGTGTGAGGTGTGTCTAAGTTTCCAAACAAAACGATCTCTGCATTTCCACATAAGTTTCTATGTATGCAGTGTGGCACAGTTGAAGGATTTCAGCCGAGTCTGAAAATCGGTAGGAAATACAGAAACATGTTTTGTTCTGGTTGCATATAATCTTTGCTCTTTTTAAGCTCTGTGAGCTCTGAAATATATTTTTGGGTTACTTCAGTGTGTTTGACAAGACAGCTTGATATTTCTATCAAACAAAGACTTTCATATTGCAACAATCTTTGTAAGAACCACTCAAATAAAATTCTCTTAAAAAGGCCTCCATGAAGCTTTATTTCTCCACTGTCCTAATGTGACTTAACCAGTGTGTGCTGCAGACAGGAGGTGAGTGATGCTTTGAAATGGGAGATGTTTGGAATGTCACACCTCCAGGAGAAAATGCAGGAGCTGGTTCCTGCTGTTTGAACCCTCTGTGTACTGCAGCCGTGGCTGCTAAGGGCCTGTGGTTTTCTCACTGCCTGGGCAGCGGGCAGCTCTTCCCCTTTCTCAGGCCTGTGGCGGATTAATTCTGCAGATAACTTGCCCCCTGCTCACCTCTGCCCCCATTTTTCACAAATGGTTGTGAATCGTGGAGATGTAGGAGGAATTTATGTTGGCTTTTAGTCTGGTTTCTGTAGGGAAGCCTGCCCAAGTGGATTGCCCTCTTATACCCCTTTCCCCCCTCCCTGTCATTTTTAACTGCTGGCTGATAAAAGCTGTGTTTGACAAAGGTGTAGAGAGTATGTTCCACCCTGGTGGGTGAAAATGGGCTGGGCAGGGATGGTGCCAGTGCTCGGAGACCTGGTGCTGCCGCTTGGGGTGGATGTCGCTGTGGCTGAGCTGCAGCATGGTGAGAGACTGTCTTCAGCAGTCCAGGAGGGAGCCACAGCAGAAAATGGGACTGGGCAACTGGAGGTACAAAGGCAAATGCAGGGAGGAGCCAGGAATGTACTGCAGGAGGGTGCCTTACGAGTACGTGACACAGCTGAGGAAAGCCAAGCAAAGCTGCTCTCTACTTTTGCTTCACCTTACTTTTTTAGTTGCCAGTATTAATCCACCAGTGCCAGCTGAAGTAAAACTTGAGCTGTTCCAGAGCAGCTGTGTTGCTTCACTGGGTGGTTGTTGGCAGAGTTTCTCTCTTGGAGGTCACTGAGCTGCATGGCAGAAGGCAGAGCAGGCTTTTAGTGGCAGATTTGTCTTCCTTAAAAACTGGGGAAACAGCACGTCTATTGGGTAAAGGCTGTACAGGTGCTGTTTCAGGTTCTGCTGCTTCTAACCTGTCCTCTTCTAGCCATAAACAGAAATAAAGGAGAAACAAAGATAAGCCTTGTTTCAAAAGGCAAATAACAGGAGATTGCAACACTAAACTAATCATAGTTCAGCTGTAGGTAGTGGTACAGAGGCTGGTGACTGGTAGGGGGTAATCCCTGTTCTCCCTGGGACACACTGAGCACCTTGTAGACCCATTAAGGCGGAGTGGAGGAAAAGTCTACTGGTGGAGCACTGTTTCTGGTAGCATAGCTCCTTCCCTTGGCAAGGGAATGAAAAAAGCCACTGCAAGTTCCTATCGCTGGAGGCAGCCGCAGCCACCACTTCTGTCCTTCCCTTCTCTGGAAGGACTGCGCAGGGGAGCGCGCCTTGCCTCACCGAGGGTGTTGGACTGCACCCTTCAGAGCTGTGGAAGAGGCAGGGTAGCCCCGCCGGGCTGTTCTGGTAATGCAGTAACTTGCAGCACAGCAGTCCTGAGGGGAGAGCTTTAGGAAAGGCACTGCTCAAGGCCTGACAAGGAGGTTCCATCTCCCAGGTCTGGTGTTGAAGTAATCCTTGCGACTCATCACAAACTACCTTTAGCTGTCATGTGACAGAAGCCGTTTTCCATTTTACAGCAATTTAACAATTTCCAGCTCTAGCAGCATGGCTGAACCTGTAACTGTTCTGTGCTGTTCCTGACGGCTTCCTGCACCTGGCTGGAAGAAGGTGCCTGAGCTGCTGTAGTCTGCCCTCAGTTACAGAAGGACTTGCCCAAGTCCTTCTGGGGTCCCTCACTCTCTGTGAGGGTGTTTGCCCCGTATTACCTGGAACTCAGAAATGGGGCCAGCTTCAACCCACCTATTTTTGCAAGATGAGAGAAATTTGATAGTTGATCTGAATTAGCCACAGAGTAACTCTCCTAGACTTGGGAATACAGGAATGCAATGGTGCAGCTCGACATCAACGCATCAGGAATGTGAGCTGCCCAAGTACCAAAGGGAGAAATGCGCACATTGTACTTATGCCTGTGAAACAGGAACTTTAATGTAGCACAAAGGGTTATTAATTCTCATCGTCATGGAGTAAGAGATAGGAGGAAAGTAGAAATTTGGTAAAAAGCATGTTTGCAATCAGCAGAGCAAGGAGGATGGTGCTTCACCATTTCATGAAGAGCTCTCGCTTCCAGGTATCTAAAGATTTTATTATGGTACAGAGGAGGAATGGCTGGACGGGGCACTCTGGGTTGAAACCCATGCTCCAGGTTAGCAGCGGATTCCCATACCAATAGCCATGAATGTCCCAAACGTCCCACCACTTTGCATCATCGTTTTGCCAACTCCACCCATCAGCTCTCGTCCTCTCATGCCAATCCTGAGATAAAGAAAAACACAGGAATTATACAAAAGCTGAAGCCTGACAGGTAACAGACATGCAGCAGAAAACACCTGATACAACCAGCTAATGGTTGCCTGAGTGCCCAAGTCAAACACGTCCTCTTCAGTCTAAATTTAAAGTGACACCACCTGCCTCCACAAGGAGACGGGCAGTGCCCCATGCCTGAGCTACTGCAAACAAAAATGGAGCTGTTCTCTTTGGAGCACTTGAGTAACCCCTGCCAAAGGCCCACGTGTATTTTTTCCTGCAGCAGTACCACCTGATGCTGTACCCTCCTGCCACACCATTAGCAGGAACAGCTTTACCTGCTAGTGCCCCAAATACCCTTAATTTGGAGAAAAACAATTGTGCTGTCCAAGTATTGACTTACCAGAGAATAAAAAGGGTCTGAGCTGTTGTACTACCATCCTGTCTGGCTGCAGTGGCAGTATTTTTAATACCACGAACTTAAAACTATGTTGTACACTGACTTCCTATTTACCACTGACACTGTATTTTTACCATGAGAAAAACCTGAAAGGTCTACAAGTTTCCAGAGGCATTTCTGTTCTCCAGTTCCCATTTACCTCAGGTCAGAACAAAACAAGAAGAACTGTTCCTTCTCGGGAAGCTCTTCTAATATTTGACTTTTAAGTGCTGCTGTGACTGTAGGGTCTAAGGAATTTCATGCACTTGATTTTTAAAACATGGAGATTTTCCCTCAGAAATGGTACAGCAGAGGTAACGTAGCTGTGTCAGTCAAATATGACAGAACCACTGTCACTGCTTCTTCTAAATACCCTAAATCCGTATTTTTTGCTAGTAATGTACCACTTCCAAATACTCTTCAGGATCTGAGAGAGATCAGAAAACTTTTTGAACTGTCTGATTAGACTTTGTGCCTTTTCCTCCTTTTAGGCTCGCCCATGTTTAATCACAGATTAAAAAAACCTCAAGCAGAAGGAGGTTTGCAAAATATGAAAGAGCTTATTTCAGTAATTCCTTTTCATGGGTGATGTGTGCCAAAACCAGTCAGTCAGCAGCGCAAGAGCTAACTTGGAGCAGTGAGCGTTCTTTGTTTCCGTGCCAGCATGCCGGGGAGCGCCAGGGGGAGGCAGACTGTTGTCCCTCTCTGATTCGCAATGGGAGTGTGCCAGTGCCAGCCACAGCTTTGCCTACACCCTTGCAATTGGGACTTGGGGTCAGTGCAGTAATTGCCTCCGTGCAGGGGGATGGGATGCCCAAAGCAACCACGATGCAGATACCCGGAGCGTGCAGAGTACCTCAGGAGGCTTTAGAGCAAGGAGAGGGCTGCACGTGTATCGGCACCGACAATTCATCCAGCTCGTCCTGGAGCTGATCTTCCACAGCCTCAGCTTCCCAGTGCAACCTCCCTTATGAGTGGCAGGAAAAGGTCTGCGAAACTGCGACCTCCTCGTACGCAGCTGACCTAGAGGTGATGCCCCACCATCACCAGACTTTCCCACTTGAGGCCGGGGCTGACAGCAGGCTCTTGAACTGTGGCTGGTCCAGAGCCACTGGCAAAGCTTCACCTACGTGAGACGACACAGGACCAGACCCGCACCTCTCTTCCCAATCCCAGAGCAGTAGCATTTCTCTCTGGCCATCGCTCTGTCATGACCTGTCCGTGGAAGCCATTTCCTTGGCATACCTGAGGCAGGAAAACGTGCCGAACAGCGCTCCTGCTGCCATGCCCACTGCAAAGCCCATCATGAAACCCATCTTTACTCTGTCAAAGCAGCTGGGCTGTGATTGCCCGTATGGGCCCACGGTCACAGGCATCTAGAAAAGAAAGCACAAAAAACCACATGGATAGACTATTTTGTCTAACACGCTTCTATACCGAAACTGTGCTAGAGAGCAGGCCCGCATGTTTCGCCCTCGGCAAGCCCCTGTGAGCACCGCTGTGTCCCCAGGGCTGTTTCAGGACATCGCTCAGTGCTCTTCAGCTCCCAGTGAGCAGCGCACAGTGTCGCTTGGCAAAGTCCCCGCTGCCGGGCCCGTCCTCCCGAGCGGCCACCGGCCTCAAAGCCAGAGGAGCGGGGCAGCGAACCTGCCCTTCAGGAGCCCAAGGCGAAGGCTCACGCCGCGGCCCGCCCCAGCGGCTCCCCCGGGAGGGGCGGCCTCCGCCCCCCGCCCGGCGCCAGGCCTCGCACCAGGGCCCTCCGCGCCCCCTTCGCCCCCGGGGGCTTCCGCCCGC